GTTGCATGGCTTTTCACTTTCCTTCTTATGATGTCTTCGATGAAACCATTGGAGAAGCCGTTATTGACTAGAACCTGCCTTACCCTACAGAGTTCTTCGTCGACTTGCTTCCATTCTGAGCTGTGGCTGAGAGCACGGTCGACGTATGCGTTAACAACACTCCTCTTGTACCTGTCAGGGCAGTCGCTGTTGGCATTTAGGCACATTCCTATGTTTGTTTCCTTTGTGTAGACTGCAGTGTGGAAACCTCCGCCCTTTTCCATGACTGTTACATCTAGAAAAGGCAGCTTCCCATCCTTTTCCGTCTCGTAAGTGAAACGCAGCACGGAACTCTGCTCAAATGCCTCCTTCAGCTCCTGCAGATGTCTGACATCAGGTACCTGTGTAAAAATGTCGTCAACATACCTGCAGTATATGGCCGGTTTCAAGTTCATGTCGACTAAGACTTTTTGCTCGATGGTACCCATGTAGAAGTTTGCAAACAGGACACCTAGGGGAGAACCCATAGCGACCCCATCTACTTGCTTATACATATGCCCATCCGGGCTCAAGAAGGGTGCCTCTTTAGTACAAGCTTGGAGTAGTTTCCTCAGAATACTTTCTGGCATGTCAAGAGGAGTACAGGCTGGATCACGATACACTCTGTCGGCTATCATTCCGATTGTCTCGTCCACAGGTACGTTGGTAAACAGCGATTCTACGTCCAACGAGGCTCTTATCCCTGTGGCCCGTGCGCCCCGCAGTAAGTCCACAAATTCCTTTGGAGACTTCAGGCTGAAGGCGCAAGGAACATAAGGAGTCAGCAGGCCGTTGAGTCGCTTTGCCAATCTGTACGTGGGTGTGGGTATCTGGCTAATGATTGGCCGAAGTGGGTTTCCAGGCTTGTGCGTCTTGACATTTCCATACGCATATCCAGGTTTATATTCCCCAATGATCTTTGGCAGGTGGAGTCCGGATTTCTTGGCGTTCACAGTTTCGATCAGTTTGTTGACCTTTGCTTTTAATTCGGCTGTAGTGTCCTTCGTTACCCTTTGGAACTTAGTTTGGTCAGAGAGTATGATGTTCATTTTCGCCAGATATTCGTCTTTTTTAAGAATGACATATATTGGCGACTTGTCACCTCTCCTGACAACTATCTCCTTGTTCTCACGAAGGCTTTTAGCTGCCGCTCTAAGCTCGGGGGACAGTATGGTGCTTCTGTAGTTGCCTCGATTCTTTCCTCCTTCTGCAATAAGTTCTGCTTGTAAGGTATCTTTGGTAGTGACCTTCTTTTGTGTCTCGAGGTCGAATATGTCGTCCAACAGAATTTCCAACTCCACTTTCCGGGTGTTTCAGTGCTGAGGTGATGTTGGTCTGTGAGGATGTCGAGGTGTTGTTCAATGCGGGTACGGATACTATGGTCGATGTTGCTATTTCTCCACTCGTTTGTAGCATGAAGTAGTTGCGTTTTTTTGTCTTTGATTTCATTCTCTGCCTTGTATATCTACACATCAAGAAGTCAACACCAGCAATCAACAGCCAATTATTGCACAACTATATTCTACCCACCTCAAGACTCCGCTCCAATATAGAAGCATCAAGAAATATGGACCAATAGGCTTTCTACAAACACTTCTATTCAATATCCATTGTTTCGTGTTCTGTCTTGTGTTGATACTTTTAATACCCTATTAATATCCTCTAATGCCACATCATACTTCCCACCTCACTCAAATGTAATGCCACATCACCCTTCCCACCTCACTCAAATGTAGATATAAAATCAGGGAAATGCAAGTTCTAATCAGTTGTGTATTTGTGAAGTCTTTGAAAATGTAATAAGTTTTACGAAACGCGCCCGTGTCGCGTCAGACTAGAAATAAAAATGAATTTTGGAGAAGTGATTTTTGATTTACCTCCAACAGTGAAGCATAATGTACGAAAGATTGAGAAAATTCGTGTTAGAATTATTAATCTTACTTTTTCGGTCATATTTAATAAAATATGTCTACAGGAAAGACTGCTACCAAAATATACTAATATATATATATATATATATATATATATATATATATATATATATATATATATATATATATATATATATATATATATATATATATATATATATATATATATATATACCCAGTAATAATAATTTCGTATTAATCAACAATATTCCACTACCAGCACTAAAATACTATGCAAAATATTAAATGTTATCACATATGTTCCGATTTTGAATACATTTATATAAATCATTTACCCTTTGCTTCAATATTTTAAACATACACCATATTCAAACATACATATTTACATTTAATACATCATATTTAAATACACTGTACACTCAAAAATATTCACCATAAACTATTACAATGTGAATGATTTCTTTCCATATATATTCAACTTAAATACTCCTCCAATATCTGAATATTTATTACAAATCCTCACTGTATATACTAATTTCCATGCACAAGAAAAATCTCATTAGCGTGATGTACCAATGAGTCCTACTGATTTTCTCAATGATACATAACGTCAATGTGATTTCCTTTATGCACTGGAAGATAACAGAATTACAGAAAGCAATGTATATATACGCATATAAAAGACGTCAACTTAAAAACATTAGGACCCAAGACACCTTTATAATGTTTCAAAGTTTATAGAAAGATAAACAATTAATATGACACATTAAGCATATTAAAAGGAATTACAGAAGATTTAATCAGATAAAAAGCATGATACACTTGGACGGCAGTTCTTCCCATCTTGATGTCACAAACTGGAGTGAAAAATTAAACTCAAACAACACCCATCTATAAGAAAACCAAACTGAAGGGAAGACTCAAAAGAAACTGAAGTTAACTTAAGCGTAAATATAAAGAAACAGGAAGTTACTACATATATAATGTTATGAGAAAATTTGGCTTGATTGTCCTATAGAATTTAAGCCTATTATGTATATATGTTGACCATAATATTTTTTTTATTTTGAGGACATGTTACATATACAATTATTAGAACTTGTCTTAAGTCTAAGCAAAGTAATAATAATATAATAATAAAGTTTATTCAGGTAAAAGTACAGGTACTTATATACAAAATGAGTTACAAACAGAATGTTGGATTTCTAGATAGAGCTTAGTATATACTATGCCTAAACCTACCAATACGCATAGAGTTTCGGGCAAAGTAATATTTAATTAAGAGTGTCAGGAAGCTGGCTTCCTTGGATGCTTTAGTTTCTAATAGTAGTAATGGATTTGTTACTAGCGTGCACAGAAAGCCCACCTTTACTGGGTTGGGACTTATTTGCCTTTTGTTTCATATGTGCCTGAAGATGGCACAAAAACAAGAAAGCAAAACTAAAGAAACTCTCAAAATTGTATTCTTCAGATGTTACTCCCCATGTTAAATTTTGTTTAAAACCTACTTCAATATAATTAACCCCAGAATTACTTAAGATTCGCTTTGTAAATATAAATACTATTGGCAAACGTTTTAAACTTAAGATCATATTCCTTCTTAGTATATAACAATAGTGAATCAGTACACATGTCCTGATCGTAATATCAGATATATTGGAAGAACATTTCGTAATATTTGCACAAGAATTTATGAACACAGAAGTGTGTCATATACTCTTCCCGTTGGGAAACTACCTCGTTCCCTTGTTAGGACGCATGTATTAGATATTAAACACAAATTAGAGCAAAATGATTTAAAAAAAAAATTCCATTTCTTCCAATAGACTTGATCTTAGGTTTCCCGAGAATTTATATATATAACTACATAAAACTCAGTTGAGTTCCCTGGAACTTTCCGTTTCTTTATCAATATTTAAGTAAACATGAGCTTCCTTAGGTTTCCCTTATAGTATGGTTTTCTTTAAATCGGTTTTAGTTGTAATTAGTCTTGATATAATTTTCACTTTCCACTCCAGTTTGTAAAATACAGACGTAAAGATTTACCATCTACGTGTCTCCTATTTTTTGTCTGTTTCAATCTTCTGTTTATTTGTCATATTAATAATTATGTATTCGTTATTTTTATAGAAGCTTTGAATTATAATAAAGACGTGTTTGGTTTAGTTTCAATTTTTAAATGTAACTTCTTTCATTTATATATATATATATATATATATATATATATATATATATATATATATATATATATATATATATATATATATATATATATATATATATATATATATATATATATATATATATATATATATATATATATATATATATATATATATTATATATGAGTTTTCGGTTATATACATTATATATTGTGTAAAAACTCACAAACGCACTATGTATGCAAGAGGTTAAACTCGTTCGAGCAGTTTTGTATGGAGTGTAGTATGATCCTTATGAACGTCTATAATGACACACGACGTGACTCTCTGAATCAGGAACGTCCAAAATGGCTAAAAATCTAAATATATAATTAATTCCCGTCGTGGGAATTAATTATATATTCATGGGGCCAGCGGCGTTCCAATTATACGATCAATTCAAAATGGCTGCAGAGGCCGGATTCTTCGTGCTTTTACGCATCTACTTCTTTGCTCAATGCTTGGCGTGTTGTTTACATTTATTAAATTATTTATGAGCTCTGTAGCAATATGAGGCTTTTATGACAATCACAACATTTGGTGGGAAGTTTTCGGTGCTAGCAAACTGTTTAAGAAATGTAAATAAACCCGCCAAATATTGAGACAAGATGTACAGGTTTGTACGTAGATGCATAAATGCTTGTTGAATCCTGGTCCAGAAATATTATAATTACAGTTTTTATTGGAAGAATCCAAAATCTTGTACAGTATTTTGGATTATATGCAACTTTTCATCCATGCTGGATAATTGTTTTTCGGTCAAACGTCAAAGAAAAAGTAACGCCATTGACAGACGAGGAGACAGGAGCCTAATAATGAAAATCAACACTTTTAAAGAAAACAACAAATTATCAATAAGACATAACAATGTGACACATTTGGCACTTACCTTCATGTGTGGGGCAAAGTTGACCATGTCAAGTGATTCTTCCTTAAGGTCGCCATATGACTGACATTCGTGCCTTGCCGTTGACACGTGACAGCTTGACAAAGACACCCGCGTCTTGACACTAAACGCCTATCCACAAGGTGGGGCAACAGCTCCTAGTAACTCTTGTTAAGGTTCACAAGCTCTTGAGCCTTCTCTTTTGTTTTTATTCGTATGTGTGTATGTATGTGTGTGTGTGTGTGCTTTCAAAGTAGATTCAAAACGAGCAGGAGAATATGATAGTTGTTAAAAGGTAAAATGGAATGTAATGACCGTAATAACAATGAATCATAGACAATGAAGACAGTTTTAACAACAAACGCTATCACGTGTGAGAGATGAGAGCTAATGTACAATAATTTACAGGAGAGAATGATGCTTTCTGAAACAACAACTAGTTTATGGTTTCTCCGCTAGAATATGAAAATGCAAAATACATTTCTTATAAATGCATAAATACAGAATTATGAAAAACAGAAACTATATCTATAATCTACTTGAAGACATCCTGCTTTAGGAAGCTTGGAACACGGTAGAGCACGGACTCTCCGGAGGACTCTGTAAAGACACAAGAAAAATATTCCAAATTTAAAAATAATGCAAAAAATAGTATAATTTTTACAAATATACCATGTGCTTCAAAACAATTATGGGGGTTGTTCACAAAAAAAAGAACAAAAAAAATACTGAAGGGTGGTTTATTTTTCAGCTAAACTGGAGGTTTAATGAGCGAGTATTCAAAATGTGATGGTGGAGTTTCTAAGGTGGAGGCAAAATACAGTACTGGGTGAGGGTGGTGGCTGCCTCGCCTCCGGAGGCGTAGGCTACAAAACAGCTAAGTCTTTATTCACCAATCCAGCTGACAAAACCATGCTCGAATAATCTTTAAAAATTCCTCAAATTTTGTTTTGTGCTGGCTTGGAATAAATTGATTTATCTGACGTCTAAAAATGAATGAAAACAGTAAAAAACTACTTTTGTTATATTTCGACGTCAAATAAACCAAATTTGCCTGTGTAAGAACAACCAGCCAGAGGGCACAATACCCCAATTCAACGTTGATCCAACGCCACTCCTGGGGTACTGTACCCACTGGGGGGGGGGGGAGATGATGGTCAGCTGAGAGGGCATTGTAAATAGTGCTATAGCTAAGGGGAACAATTTGTAATGGAAGTAACCACCTCTGACTGTCAACAAGGAGGGGGTGTAGTCATCTACAGGCAACACTATCACACACACACACACACTACTACACCATCTGTTTCTTCTGCATTCTCCATTCTCTTCCTTCTGTATTAACATCGAATCAGCGTTCAACGTGTTGATCATAAGTTGACTTAATGTTGATAACGTTAATCCTAATTTAACTCTGAATCAATGTAAAATAATGTTAATCATCTCTTAATTAAACGCTAGTCGAACATGTTCTACCGAGGAGTTTGCGACAAAGAAAAAAATGCATCATTTCTTAAGGACAGACCCCAACCGTCCAAGTGGTTGGCCACCATTCCTTCCCGCCGTCCCATCCCAGATCCTTATCCTGACTCCTTCCCAGTGCTATGTAGTCGTAATGGCTTGGTGCTTTCCCCCCGATAGTTCACTTCCCTTCTTAAGAACAGCAGAGTAGATGTCCTAACACAAGAGAGGCCGGGAATCAGTAACAAGACTTCACTTGTCTCTAAAGACTTCACAAGAGTATAAACAAAGGAGCACAACTTTGTGACCTCAGCCTTCATCCCCTCAAACAGAAGGTTGCAATGCGCACTTATCACTTAAAATGAAAATAGTAGGCATCCATCAGTCTCAGGAGACTCTGGAGTTTCGGTCTGGAGTGGCCTCACCAGGGCGCAAAGCCAGGGTAGGTTGATTCGGAGGAGAAGCTGTTACCCATGCAGCAGTGAATATATAGTCAACTGAAGATGCATGGTAGATGAGGGATCGATAGATTGTTTCAAGCGTAGGTTAGATATACATGTGAAAGAATGTGGGGTGGATATAAATAGGAGCAGCTGCAGGGTCGTTAATTGTTAAGTATGATGCAAAATGGAAATAGAAAGTTAGACGGACGCAGAGGAAGAGGAGGAATAATTACAGTTTATTATGCTTCGAATTTTGAGAGAAAGAAATATTTTGTATTTGAAGGTGGCAGGATATGGTGTGTCACAGCACGAGGTCACGGACTTGATGGTCACGAGAGACAGGTCACAGCACGGGGTCACGGACTTGATGGTCACGAGAGACAGGTCACAACACGAGGTCACGGATTTGATGGTCACGAGAGACAGGTCACAGCACGGGGTCACGGACATAACTAACATTAAACCTTCTATCATTTAATAATTAATAAAAATGGATTAAAGGCATTAGTATAAAACTGGATATAGCAACTTAGAGCAAACTTAAATTTATTACAATTTTCAATGAAGAGGAACATTCCCCTCAATTTCAATACGTATAAAACGTTCACTGAATACAAAGACTAATGTGAGTAACATTCAATCAATGCTTCAAAACTATTTACAATAAAATAAATGCTAGGAAAAGTGATATTACATATGCTTCTGCACTATATAGGCGACAAAGGTATTAATAGTTAATTCCAAGACAATAAGGACTAACCCAGCTATAAATGTGGGAACACTGAGGAATAAAACATGTGGCTTGGACTGTGGCAGGTATACCCACGAGGAGCGGAGAGCATATTCAAGCCTGGCATCAGTACACAACACATCCCAACTTGCAAACTTTACAGATATATAAACAAGCCAGATATAAATATATATAGTTATGATTTCAATTATATAGTTTGAAAGAGCAAGCTGGAATCCAAATATCATTAAATTACAGATAAAAAAATGAAGTTGGTGTTTAATAAAAAAAATTCAGAGTGAATTACTCACCATATTGTTTCCCATAGTATGAGACACGAAGCCTGTTGTGCTTTTTGAGGAACCCCCTCCCCCTAGGCCAAGTACTGACCTTTCCCCATGTTGCAGCCCACAACAGTTGTCTAACTCCTGGGAACCTATTTACTACTAGATGAACAGAGGCATCAGATGAAAGGAATCGTCCCTAGCCGTCTCTTTCCCACGAGAAGATCCTCAGTTATGAGCCAAAAACGAAAGACCACTTTACTACAGAACTCATTAATAGAAGGGGAAATGCCATAAATGCAATGGATATGGTCTTACAGTAATTAAATTCGAGAAAAGTCTTGTAACTATCTACGTTATTAATAATAAATAATCATTAAGTACCGATAAGAACAAGATAGGACTAGGCAAGATATCCCCTTGCATCCTGGAGGAATGTTTAGATAACCTAAGTGCCACATTAGCCACCACTCCCATCCTGGAGTACTTTTTACGTCTCGGATATGGCATTGTGCCAAAAGAATATAAATTTAAATAATCACCTTAAATTAGAATCCTGTGTAGCGAGTGAAATTACCACAACACTAAACGAAGTCATTAGAAACAAGGAATTGGAATGCCTAAAAAAAATAAGTTATTACCAAGTGTACTATCAACCTGTCCTCTTACAAATTAGGTCTGAATTTAGCCGTTTACACGTATGGCCGAAAACTGACGTAATTTGAAAATTATAAACAAATTGAAAATAAATTTGGGATTTTCTTTTTCCAAAACAGTAAGTTAAAGGTCCTCTGGTAGGTTAGGAGGGCTTGACTATTCTCTCAGGTCGGCAATCTTGCATATATCACAACGGTTGAACTTCTACCATGAAGCAGTACTGGTGAGGTCCCACCAAGACCTGTACTGGTGAGGTCCCACCAAGACCAGTACTGGTGAGGTCCCACCAACACCAGTACTGGTGAGGTCACGCCAAGACCAGTACTGGTGAGGTCACGCCAAGACCAGTACTGGTGAGGTCCCACCAAGACCAGTACTGGTGAGGTCCCACCAACACCAGTACTGGTGAGGTCACGCCAAGACCAGTACTGGTGAGGTCCCACCAAGACCAGTACTGGTGAGGTCCCACCAACACCAGTACTGGTGAGGTCCCACCAAGACCAGTACTGGTGAGGTCCCACCAAGACCAGTACTGGTGAGGTCCCACCAACACCAGTACTGGTGAGGTCACGCCAAGACCAGTACTGGTGAGGTCCCACCAAGACCAGTACTGGTGAGGTCCCACCAACACCAGTACTGGTGAGGTCCCACCAAGACCAGTACTGGTGAGGTCCCACCAAGACCAGTACTGGTGAGGTCCCACCAACACCAGTACTGGTGAGGTCACGCCAAGACCAGTACTGGTGAGGTCCCACCAAGACCAGTACTGGTGAGGTCCCACCAACACCAGTACTGGTGAGGTCACGCCAAGACCAGTACTGGTGAGGTCCCACCAAGACCAGTACTGGTGAGGTCCCACCAACACCAGTACTGGTGAGGTCCCGCCAAGACCAGTACTGGTGAGGTCCCACCAAGACCAGTACCGGTACCAGTAAGGGCCTTGATCTACGAATCACTAACCAGACTAACTTCGAGTGAATACATAACAATATTTCCAGATGCCAAAAATATAGGGAAAAGTAGATCATAAAAATTATTGTAAGACCCTTCAAATTAACTTACTAAACAAACCAAAAATTGGATGAAGGAATTTCCTCTAGATAATTATCATGTTATAGAAATATGAGAGAGTCAAAATAGGCCCCAATGATGAATTTTTTGTAAGTTATTAGATTATTAAAAGTAAATATGGCTAAATGTATCTCATTTACTCTCACCAAGGACATAAATACTTGAGGAAAAATATTATATACTACATTTAGCAAAATATGATAGCTTATAAATACATAAATGGTGAAATGCTGAGAAAAATATACCTATAGCACACGTCAGACTGTAATTGGAATGTGCAGCATGGTGGCCACACCGACAGAAACATAACATTAAAATGTAACAAGACCAAAGACAGTACAAAATGGATTCAATTGGTCACAAATATGAATTATGAGTAGAGGATAAAGGTACAAATGGATGAAAGAGTATATATATATATATATATATATATATATATATATATATATATATATATATATATATATATATATATATATATATATATATATATATATATATATATATATATATATATATATATATATATATATATTATATAATGATTAAAATATATCAATAAACTGGATAAAGTTTAGATTCACGAATAGATTCTATCATTTACCTGGGTAAATAGTAGTTTTAAAACTGGGTTGTTGATTTATGGATCAAGTGACCGGATACCATAAAAGGCGTGGGATCGCTGGATTGTTTCAAGCGCAGGTTAGACATGTATGAAAGAGTTTAGGTTCATATAGATGAGATGCATCTCATGGGGAAATTGGCCTTCTGCAGTTTACTTTATTCATTTGTTCGTATGTACTGAGTATAGACAAATTGAAAGGGAAGATAAAGAGGAGGTACGGTAAAGAGATGAGAAAAAACAGGAAAGGCAGTTTATGAAGCCAGATGAAACCAGAATAAGAGAGAGAGAGAAAACAGTTGAAAATGATTGAACAAAAGAGCGTAGACAAGAGATAGTAATATTCCTTAATCCTCCGCAATGGAACATTTTAAAGATATTGATACAATTTACAGGGAAGACAGAACAGCATGAGCACACAGCACGACTACAATTAGTCCATCACACGCTAATACCGGTGTATTACCGGAATACCGGTATATACCTATACCGGTGTATACAAGAATACTACTTCACCTGTGAGTACTAGTATACCTGCTAGACCATTACACGTACCGTAGTACCCTCTACACCACCACATGAGTACACTAGTGTACCCGCTACACTACACCTATGCTCCCGGTGTTCTTCGGTGGGGTGAATCTAGTTTAGTGTAGTATGAGAGGTAACGCCAACAGGTTCCAATTCTCCCGAAGAAATAACTTGTTGTAAACGATACAAAAAGCCGCCGTTAACGAGGTTACCAGCGGGCATTACCACATGGACTGGGAGTGGCCAATACGTTAGTGAATGCCTCTTTAACTATCTGATGGGGTTAGCAGTGGCGTGAATTTCGTTCGTGTTTTAAGGGCATCACAATTAAACACCGTTGTTGCAATGATTGATTCCTTATTGTGTACGTGGCAGTCGCTTGTCTGGCATCCTGCACAAGCCACACCATAGCCTGCCAGGAAGCCACACCACATCCTGTCGAGGAGCCACACCATATCCTGCAGGAGCCATCTGTATCATGCAGGAGCCACACCATATCGTACAGGGGACACGTCAGATCTTACAGGAACCACACTACACCCTGCAGATGGGGTCCTGGGCGACTACACACAATACCGACGTCTTAATGCAAAGGCTTTAGTGAATCGTTCTTCACTCGCTCGCAGTTGTTGTTGAAGGATCCCCACACAATTGTTGGAGTGGGCTAGGAGTGTGGGGGTGTTGGTGTGGGGTGTGGGGGTGTCGGTGTGGGGTGTGGGGGTGTCGGTGTGGGGTTGTCGGTGTGGAGTGTGGGGTTGTCGGTGTGGGGTGTGGGGTGTGGGTTGTCGGTGTGGGGTGTGGGGTTGTCGGTGTGGGTCTGGCGGTGAAGAGGTTGGGTGAGTAGTGGGGTCTGGGTGGGGGTGTTGGGATGAGGGTTTTCTTATCTCACCTTACGGTTACCTCGCATTGGTTCCAAGGATCGACGTCCCCCGCGGCCCGGTCTCTGACCAGGTCGCCTGGTTGGTGGTCTGGTCAACCAGACTGTTGGACGCGGCTGCTCGTGGCCCAGCCCGGCCTCCTAAGGTTTCCCAATGTCAAGAAATTGTCGTACTAAAGTGCCCTTATCCTAACCTACCAGAGGACCCAAAACAGAAAACGGGACATTATGTCAATTTCGCGAGCCGTTACTATTTTCTAGTACAACAATTTTTGCCCTCAGGTAGAGTATACGTCTGTCCTATGAATGACAGCCTGGTTGATCAGGTATTCTTTGGAGGTGTGGGTGTGGGGATTGGGGGGGGGGGGGGTGTGGGAGGGGAAGAATGAGGAGGGAGTAACTGTTTAGGATGGTTCTATGGTTTTTAACTGTTACAACAGGCACTGTTAATGATTGTTACGACCGTGATGGAGTGACAGTTACAGGGGACAAAGACTTGTGATAGAGTGACAGTTACAGGGACAAAGACTGGTGGTGGAGTAACAGTTACAGGGACAAAGACTGGTGATGGAGTGACAGTTACAGAGGACAAAGACCGGTGATGGAGTAACAGTTACAGGGGACAAAGACTGGTGATAGAGTGACAGTTACAGGGACAAAGACTGGTGATGGAGTGACAGTTACAGAGAACAAAGACCGGTGATGGAGTAACAGTTACAGGGGACAAAGACTGGTGATAGAGTGACAGTTACAGGGACAAAGACCGGTGATAGAGTGACAGTTACAGGGGACAAAGACTGGTGATGGAGTGACAGTTACAGGGACAAAGACTGGTGATAGAGTGACAGTTACAGAGGACAAAGACCGGTGATGGAGTAACAGTTACAGGGGACAAAGACTGGTGATAGAGTGACAGTTACAGAGGACAAAGACCGGTGATGGAGTGACAGTTACAGGGACAAAGACTGGTGATAGAGTGACAGTTACAGAGGACAAAGACCGGTGATGGAGTAACAGTTACAGAGGACAAAGACTGGTGATGGAGTGACAGTTACAGGGACAAAGACTGGTGATGGAGAGACAGTTATAGGGGACAAAGACCGGTGATGGAGTAACAGATACAGAGGACAAAGACTGGTGATGGAGTGACAGTTACAGAGGACAAAGACCGGTGATGGAGTAACAGTTACAGAGGACAAAGACTGGTGATGGAGTGACAGTTACAGGGACAAAGACTGGTGATGGAGAGACAGTTATAGGGGACAAAGACCGGTGATGGAGTAACAGATACAGGGGACAAAGACTGGTGATGGAGTGACAGTTACAGAGGACAAAGACCGGTGATGGAGTAACAGTTACAGGGACAAAGACTGGTGATGGAGTGACAGTTACAGGGGACAAAGACCGGTGATGGAGTAACAGTTACAGGGGACAAAGACTGGTGATGGAGAGACAGTTATAGGGGACAAAAACTGGTGATGGAGTAACAGTTACAGGGGACAAAGACTGGTGACGGGAGACAGTCACCAGGTAACCATAAGGGGTTGCCCATTACACAAGGGGAAGAACGACGATCGTAATACCTTTTAGGGAGCCCCTCTAACCATTCTCTGCAAGGAGACACAAAATGTTTTGTACACATTCGTTAAACAAAATATATTCATTCTACAATTTACATGTTTAGTGAAAATGCTTAAGATACTCCTAAATTATATTAGAATATTTGACTTATATATATTGACATCAAGATATTACTCTGGAAGTATTAAGGTAGACTTTTGGCTGTGGGAGTGATCATATCACGTGGGAGAGGCTTCCACACTTAGTAGTAAGTATACAGTACGTATACTATATACTAACAGTTATACTGGACTGTTAGTATAGTCTAACACTACTCAGACTATAAATTTCTCCATAATTAACAAATTTGGCATTTCGAACATTTAAAATTAAAACTGCCAGATTTTAATTTTGTCCTCACTTTACAACTGTATGAGACGAATGCTAATATTAATGCAAAGTAAAACATTCAGTATTATATCTATATCTATACCTTTAAAATTGAATGTCTGTCTGTCTGTCTGTCTGTCCAAAGTTAGAGGACACATGTTTGGGGCTAGCCTCACCCAAGTTTTCTAGATGAAATATGGGTGGTATGGGACTGTCATAGGCCGGTTGGGATCTGTCAAAGTGTCCCACCCCCAACATTAAATGGAATCAGCTCCAATTACGAATCCCAGCGACTCCTGCAAAGCCTAAATTTGGGATTTCATTCTCCAGTGTTTTCCAAAGGTTTTCAGCTGATCATTATATCCCAACTTGCACACAGACAACGTAACTACAATGTTTTATAACTACGTTGTAACAAGAGAGACAACCCACACGACTGATAATACTGGACGTGACGACGTTACGGTCCGTCCTGGACCATAACGGACCGAAGTCACGTCACTTCCTCTATTTTCAGATGTGTGGTTTGGAAGTCTATTGTTCAGCCACGTTGTGACGTACTGTCTGCATACCTTGTAACGTTACAGTGACGTTCTCTGCATATGATGTTACAACGTTACTGTGACGTTATCTGCATACCTTGTAACATTACAGTGACGTTATCTGCATACGTTGTTACAACGTTACTGTGACGCTCTCTGCATACGTTGTTACAACGTTACTGTGACGTTATCTGCATACCTTGTAACGTTAGTGACGTTCTCTGCAACGTATGCAGAGACCGTCACCGTCTCTGTATCGTTCCCCCTGTAACGCTGTCACGAACTTAAATCTGTGACATTCTCTGCATATGTTGTTACAACGTTACTGTAACCTTTGCATAAGTTGTTGCAACGTTACTGTGACTGTGAAAACAACGTTCTTTTAATGTTGTGTGTTTTATTGTTTTGAGAGAGAGAGAGAGAGAGAGAGAGAGAGAGAGAGAGAGAGAGAGAGAGAGAGAGAGAGAGAGAGAGAGAGAGAGAGAGAGAGAGAGAGAGAGAGAGAGAGAGAGAGAGAGAGAGAGAGAGAGAGAGAGAGAGAAAGGGAGGGAGGGAGAGGGAAGTAGAGAAGAGCACACATGTGTGGCCACTCACTTGGTCTTGGGAGACGACGGAGCTGCGGTTACTCCTGACGCCCAGGTCCATGCCGAATGGGTTGAGGTGGCGGGCCCCCAGCGGGGCTCTCTGGGGCTCCGGCTGCTGCCTACTGCTATAGTAGTCACAGTCGCGGGGCGAACCACCGCCTTCCGCAGACGAATCACTGTCGGAACACACACAAAAATATCATCTTGCTTTATGGAAAGCTTACAAACAAAAATCCAAGTTAGATATCTTGGACGAATATGAGATGCATAAAAACTATTTAAATTACAGTCTAAATTACAGACAGTCTACAGTCAGCACCAATAATGATATTCATGAATCTCTCTCTTTCCGGTAATCATCTTGAACTGCTGTACATAACCTGGAACCATACGAGAGAATTACTGTACTGTATTACTCTTAATAATATTAATAGCAATAATAATAATAATATAATGTATTATTATTATTAACATCTTGGAAATCAATGGCAAATACCACACAATATTATTCAATAAAATAATAGAATCTCAGCGCTATTACTAACAACTGTAGAACAACAGTGAAGGTCTAGCTTGCCGGTTTCAAAATAAACATTGACATGTGCCGAGTAACAAAAAAATAATTAATAATCATAATTAAAAAATAAACATGTAACAGTAGTTATTAATAATAATAATTCTAACAAATCATTATAATAAATAATAATAATATTGGGAGAAATAATGATAATTACAATAATAATAATAATTTCATTCGCCTGGGCTCTAGGAGACTCGAATCATACACCCGAGTGAGGCAGAGGCTCTACCCACTCAGCTATGAGTAGCCTTAATAAGGAAAGATTCCAGGAACAACTACTACTGCTGCTATGTTGGAATTTTCAACTTTCCCTGACTACTACTGAAGCCCAGAGGAATTAGTGATTCACGCCTGAGTCATACCAATATACCAGGTGAATGAAATATTTATTATCACGGAAGTGTGGATGATAATTAATAATAATAATAATGTTGACCAGACCACACACTAGAAGGTGAAGGGACGACGACGTTTCGGTTCGTCCTGGACCATTCTCAAGTCGATTGATTCTCAAGACAATCGACTTGAGAATGGTCCAGGATGGACCGAAACGTCGTCGTCCCTTCACCTTCTAGTGTGTGGTCTGGTCAATATACTTTAGCCACGTTATTGTGACTCATAGCCTGCAATAATAATAATAATATCAGTAATAACAATTACATCCATAACACTTCAAAACAATAACAAGGAGCGGATCCCATGGGCTTAAGCCCGCAAGGTCGTCGACCTGAGAATTGGAGGCATGAGAGGTGTATAATAATTAGAAGCGCCTGTGTCTACAGTGTATCGATATGGCCTCTGTGTACGTATTTAAGTGTTAAAGAGGCTATTAGGTTTGGCTAGATTAGGCTATATTACAATATGTTGTTGGCTTATGGTATGTTAGCTTAGGCTCTGCTGTATATATATATAAATGGTTGAATATGTAGCCTGGCAGCTGACCTCAAAGGCTCAGTATAACTAGAATCTGATATACGTATGCCAGGTACTGTATTTTATGTCAATAACACTCATGACTTCAAAGGATTGAAGATACTACCTTCAGAGATTATTATGAAGATATTCTCTTCACAATGAAGAAATAATCTTCAGAGAATATAAAGATATTATCATTAGGGATTATTATTATCTTGACACCAGATTATGCAAGCAGATAAGATGACCTTCCAGAGTTCAAGTATACCCGAGAAAAAAAATCTTTCTTTCTCAGTGCTTCAAAGATACCTTAGTATGGAGGTTCTATCTGGGCAAGTGAGAAGGCTGGAGGAGTCCCGGCGAGAAACTGTGAAGGGACTCAAGTCGCCCAGGGAGATCCCACTTAGTTTTCTGGCAATAGCGATAGGCACGTCGGGCTCTGCAGCTGCAGGGTCGTCGATGGGGTGTGAGCCGCAGAAAGAGGTCTCCAGCAACATGCAAGACGGTGATGGAGACCTTCCACCTATTGACCCCGCATCTGACCCTAGCGACGACAGCCGGCTTCTGCGACCCGGTTGTGGGGGTAGCAGGAAGTCTGACCAGTTATCCGGAATGGGTGATCTCCGTTCCATCATTCCCGGCTCAGATGATAACGATGATAATCGATTGATGCAATCGTTTACTGGCGCCAGTAACCGTTCCAGATCGGAGTTCTCATATTCGTCCCCCTCTTTTTTTATTTCTTCAATTCTTTCTCTGACTGTGGTGAGATCTTCACTTGATGAGGGGCTAGTTGGTTTGTCACTGTCGGACGAATGGTCAGAGCTGTCGCCTTTGTCAGGCGTAGATGCCTCTGACAACGCCTGCCCATTGTCAGAATCTAGGTCTTGGAGAATTAGTGGTTCAGGAAGTGGTGGAGGTAACTTCTGTGTCAGTAGCCCTTCTATACTTGTTCTCTCTTCTTCCAGTCTTTGTTCTTCACTTTGTGGTTTGAACTGCTGCGCTTCTGTGCGTTCTTGAATGTCTTTCTGTCTCTGCTGTGCTTGGTGTCTTGGAGGAACTGTCTTGATCTGACGCACTGGTTTCAGGACTATATCTGGCATTTCGTCGAAATTAATCCAACTTTTAACGTGCTCTGGTTGAGGCTTGATTTCAACATCAACTTGTTTAGTAATGGTCTCGGGTGTCGTGATTGGGGACCGTGCAGGAGAACGAGCCTTAGGTGGAAGAGGCGGTGGTGTTTCTTCTGAACTTTGTAAGCTCCTTTCCCTATATTGCTTTCGTAGGGTCCTTGGACTCCGCAAGCCCTCTTGACAGAAGTCTTCCCAGGTCTTCGAACTCTGTCGTTTTGGACTTCGAGTTGGTAACACTTTCACTGGTCCCGTTTGTGGTATATTGATCATCATTTTATCAGATTCTCCTTCTGGTGTACTAACTATTGGCTTGTACTCTTCTAGACGTCCTGGTATTAAAGGTGTAGTGCTACGTGGTCTATCAATGGACTGAGTATGGTGCATTTTTGTAGCACGCTCCTTGACAGGAATCATGGGAGCTGCAAGTGGGCGCTCCATAGGGAGCGTGGTGGGTACATAGGGAAGTTCACCCTCTTCAAGAGAGTCTTGTGAAACGAGGCCCTTGTTCTCTACATCAGGAGACTCCAAGCTTTCTTCTGTGCCCTGTTGTTGACTTGCTTTTTTCTTAAGATACTCGATTTCTGACTCGCGTTCTGACTCTGATCGCGAGTCTGCGTCGACACTTAAATCCTGAGCAGGCGTCTCCAGAGTCAAATCAACTTCACTTGTGCGATCTTTCTGCTTAGGAGGTAAGATCGGCTTATCACCCTCAGGAGCCTCAATTTCATTTTCTTTAATTTCAACAGGGAGACTAGGAGATGGAGGAGGAAGAGGAGGAGGAGGAGGAGCTGGGGAAGAAGGCAGAATAGGTTTATCAAATACGTCGTCTTCTGTTATCTCTCGTGTCTCACTTACTTCATTCTCTTTGGATTCTTCTACTATGATTGTATCACTACTTGGTTTATTGTCTCCAATATTCATAATAGAAGAAAGTTCATTATAAGAACTGTCTCTAGAACTGATAATACCATCAGGTTTGGGTGTCTCGGGCTCTGCTTTCGTTGGAGCTGCTCTCAGCGGCTCTTTTATCGCCCTGTTTACTTCACTCTCTTGCCTTATCAATCCAAACGACGAGGACTGGTACTTTCCATCATCATTAAACGTGAATTCAACATTAGTGATTGCCTCACTAATTTTACTGTCCGTAGAGGTCGTGCGAGTGTCACTGCTGGGTTTGCCTTTGTCAGGTTCAGATTTCTTTTTGGTTTTCGGCCTGAAGATTGACAGGACACTTCTCCTGTCATGAGTGTCATCTTCAAGGTCTCTCTCTCGGCTTTTACTTCGGCTACGAGATCGACTTCTTGACCGGAACTCCTTCTTTGCAGAACGAATGAACTGACTAAACGGACTTCTACGACCACTGGAACCAGGCGAGTCTGGAGTGACAGGGCTCAAGACACTACTATCAGATTTACGAAATAAATTTGTAAATGAGCTTTTTCTTGACACCGACGGCGATGAGGAGCCACTCTCTACTTCGTCTCTGGTTCTTCGTCTTCTAGATGCTCTGGGTGAGGCAGATGGGGTGGTGGAGTAGGAGCGAGCACTGTGGTACTCCGGAGTTGTGGCAGTGACCGACGAAGCCACAGAGGGTGAGGGTGACGGTCGCGGAAGGTCTTTCAGATCTGGGACCTGAGGAACAGGAACTTTCTTGGGCATCCTCGGTGACCGCGGAGATGACTGAGAAGAAAGTGGCTGTCGATGTTGCTGCTGAGTCTGTCCTGGCTGTTGTGTTTGTTCAAGGTGTAAAGGAGATTTAGGTGGATGTGTTGATTGATGCTCTTTTGGAGGTTTGAGAATGGCAGTGATAATTGGTTCATGTTCCTTAGAAAGAATTTTTTTCGTTTCAGCGTTAGCCTCGATGTTTATTGGAGGTGGCTTTTTTTTGGGAGTAGTGGCCACCACCCTTGCTGAAGGCGGCGCTGATTTAACAGCAGAAACCTCAAGTTTTGTGAGAGGTGCTTCTGCTGTTGCTAATACCTCTTCTGGTTGGAGTCTTGGTAAGGTGGCCGGAGATGTACGGAATATATCAGGTGGCTTTGCTTCCATTGGAGATTTAACTCGTTCTAAGGATTCAATTGCAAAGTCCATCATTTTGACTGTATTAACAGGTGGATCTTCAAAATCAATACTAGGTTGTTGAATGGGGCGACTACCACAGAAAGAGGTCTCTAAGAGCATTCGGTGTGGAGAAGGAGAACGCCGTGTAGAGCCGATAGAGCCTAGAGAGGATAGTCTACTCGAGTGACCACTAGTGACGGGAAGGAGGCCGTCACTGATCACCGAGGAAGAGGAACCTTTACGGTTGAGCTCAGCAACACGCAAAACTTCCTCTCGTCTCTCAAGCTCAGCCAACTTGCACGCGCGTTCTCTTCTGCGTCTCTGTTGCTCTGCTTCTTCGGCATCCAGCTCTTCCGTGCTCGAGTGCAAGTCTGCAGCCATGTTTTCACAAAAATCAGATTTAGCATAACCCGAAAACAGTTCCTTTTCTGGTGTTGACTCTTTGGAGTCAGTCTCGTGAGGCGAGGAAGATGATGCTGCCGAAACACGAATCCTTGGCGACGAGGGCACACTAAGAGCAGCCGTCGCTATAGGCGTGACCGGCGTGGTCGCGCCTGATGTCTCTTCACCAATTTCAGGAAGCTGAGTGCGTTCCTCAGGGCTGGAGTCCGACGTAGTCTTGTCCATACTGAGATCCTCAAAGGAGGCGAGGGGCGCGGGGCCCATCCGCCGCTGCCGGGACGGGAAGCTTGACAGCCGCTGCCGCCCAGCGTCAGACAGACTACGTTTATCGGAGTCCATGCTGTCGGGCGGGGGGTGGCCGCGGCTGTCGGTGCTGCTGCTAGTGCAGCTGCTGAGGGTGATGGCGGTGGTTGTAGTGGCCATGGCGGAGGTGTGTGGGTGTGGGCTTGGGATGTGTCATGTGCAGGGGTGCAGGCGTCACGTCTTGGCAGCGGGCGGGCCGTCCCGCTTGTTTACAGCCTCACCTCCACCACTTCTGGCGCGCTCCCACCTGCGGAACAACCACACACGTTACTAAACATCACAATAAATGTACAACTACCTCATAACAAGCCGTCCTCACCTCATGCAAAAAATATCCAGTAAACTTCATATAGTACTTTAAAGTTAAGCGAAATTTTGTAAATTTCTATGTTAATATGATACTAAAAACTGTGTACATCTTCGTAGCCACCATAGCAGAAGATAACTTACCGCCACATCCTGATTAAGGACACTATACATAACTATAGTTTCAGTGTCATCAATAACTGCCATAGCAGGGACATATTTTTAATACATTAATTACTTCTAGATAATATACACAAATCACTTTAAAAGGAGAACAAATATTAATTGGTAAGTATTAAGAGCAACAAAGTTGAACATTTAGCTGTTCTCAGGAGACAGTAAATAGCAGCGAGATAACAGAATGTTCATCAACGGTACATGAAGGAACTCTAGTTGTTATATATTGGTGATGTTATTATGTGATATTGATATGATGTTACTGTGTGATGGTGATGATACTGTGTGACTCTTAACGGTGTAGTCACGGTGACAACCACACCTTCATGACGAAGCAAAGCAAAAAATTGTTGAAGAGAACGAGGGGCGGGACGATAGGTGACGAGGGGTCACGGGGAATATGGAGTGAAAAGTTTGGAAGAAGTGGACGGAGACCCGGGTGCACCCGGAAAAAACCCTTCTGTATATATAAATGGAAATGTCTATCTGTTCGAGATTGGAGAGGAGAAGTGAGAGATGAGAGGGGAAGAGGGGAGGGGGCGGAAAAGGGGGTTGAGGGAAAGAATGGGGGGGTGAAGGGAGATTAGAGATACTCCCGGACACCGCCGGATACCCGACCTAGTAACCTATACTCTCGTGAGCCATTACATGCACTTGGGAGATGCTGGAAGGTTGGCCTGAAGACGCTATACTCTCCGGGGAGTCCAGAAATGTCGATACACTTTTTTTTTTATCCTTAAAATGTTTTATTTGTCGAGTTGTAAAATAGAATTGGAAAACTTGAGTCACAAGAGTGTATGCCACAAAGATGGGAATTCTGTGTTCTTCCGCGTGGAAATAATTACTAAATTAAGTGTGATAAAGCAGACACACAGAGAAAGGCTGGGAAGAGGAGAAGGAGGGGAGAAGGAAGAGGTGGAATGGAAGAGATGACGAGGAAAAGAAGTAAAAGGTAGAAGAAGGGAAAGGAGGAGAAGTTCCGTTGGTGAAACAGACATACTGGCCGACAGCTAAGATATTAAAAGTGGAGGATATTAAAGACGTGTCCCCCATAGGGTTGTCAGGCAAGACGGCCTCGCTGATCCACGGGTGTGGGACCGAACCCCCCCACCCACCCCCACCCCCACTCCCGTCTCAACTCCACCACAACTCACATGAATCAATATAAGAGGAAATATAACCAAACGAAGGCAATACGCTGCGTGACCCCGCGGAACAATGAGCACTGCTGAGCACTTCACAGTAACGTCACTGAGCACTGCATTGTAATGCAAGTGAAATATAAATATTAACATCGCTGAGCGCTGCACAATACCCTCATTAGGAATTACTCAAGTGCCCAAGAGTATTGCTGAGCGCTGCACAATACCATAAAGAAATAATATCAGCTAACCAGCAAAAATTCATCTCTTAATGGAGATCCCTTTGCAAGATTGCACTGCAGCAGCTGTTCTGATGAACGTGACAATTACATGTTATAACACTGTTTATACTTATTAAATACAGTGGGCAGAGGGAGGGTAGGAGAGAGTGAGGGAGGGTGGTAGGGGAGGAGATGGGAAGGAGGGAATGTGGAAGAGGAGGAGGGAGTGAGGGAGGATGAGAGGGGAATAGGAAGACCGTGAAGGAGGAAGGGAGACAAAAAAAGAGGGATGGATAGTAGTAGGTAGGGAGGGAAAGGGGTGGTTGCTGGGATAGGGAGAGAAAGAGTTTTTGCTGGGACAGGGAGGGAAGACATGGTTGCTGGGTGAAGGGAGGGGGTGTGAAGGAAGGGAAGGAGAGGGGGGGTAGGGAAGATGGAACATCTGGATGAGGGACAGAGGCCGACGACACCCATCACCTTAACTATCCACACAGTGTGTGTCTAAGGACGCGGCAGACAAGCACTTGGATCTCGGAGATCTTGACAAGAATTAATCAAGCCTCGACCCAACCACTCACTACATCTGCGCATCGTTCCTTAATCACGGCAACTTTGTTTACATGTATTAAATCTTTTATGAGTTCCGAAGCACTACGAGATTATTCGTAACTAATAACCTTGGGTTATTAAAACCCTTGAGTTACATGGCGGCGTTTAAACATGGCCGCCAAGATGTACAGGTTACGTAGATGGTTGTATAAATGGAGGAGAAGAGAATGCAGAGAGAAGGAAGTCTTGTGAAGAAAGAAGAGCGGATGGGAGAATCACAAGGTCCCATCCAAGACAAGACTCCGGCCGACAAGATTACCGCCGACAAGACTGCCGCCGACAAGTCTTGGGCCGACAAGTCTTAGGTCGACAAGATTACCGCCGACAAGACTCCCGCCGACAAGTCTTGGGCCGACAAGACAGGACGACAAGCCTGGAGGCGGTATACTGGGCCTCACTTGGCTTTAACAGCCAAGGCGCCTCAAGCCTTCGGTCCTTCTCAGATCTCAGCGCTTAATCTGGTCACATTCTTCTTTCTGCAAGGAATGTTGGTGCTTGTTGTGGTGGTGGTGTTGATAGTGGTGGTGGTGGTGATGCTGCTAGTGGCGGTGGTGGTGCTGCTAGTGGTGGTGGTGGTGGTGCTGCTAGTGGTGGTGGTGGTGGTGGTGCTAGTGGTCAAATCATTAATCAAAACCCCTTTCCGTTGTCTTCAATAACACATGTCTGCAAGACTGACAGCTTCCCCCCAAAAATGCATATATGCAAAAGAGGAATACTCTATGCGACAGATATAGACATAGAGGAACCTATGTACATACCGAAATATAGCGAGATATACAGATTTACATACACAGGGGGAGCACTGGACAAAGAGAGAAGGGAGTTACAGCATAACCCTCGTATTTTTTCACTCGTTACAGTGGGGGAGAAGGGAGAGACTACACTTGGGACTATCCGGATAAGTGGTAAAATGTGTTGGGATATTTCGGGAGAGGACACACATCTGTACACTGTATGTACGGAATCTGTACACCTATTGATTGACGGTTGAGAGGCGGGACCAAAGAGCCAGAGCTCAACCCCCGCAAACACAACTAGGTGAGAACTAGGTGAGTACACAAGGGGACACAGGTGGAGACTGAGTACCCAAATGAGCCACAGAGACATTAGAAAGAACTTTTTCAGTGTCAGAGTAGTTAGTAAATGGAATGCACTAGGACGTGATGTGGTGGAGTCTGACTCCATACACAGTTTCAACTGTAGATATGATAGAGCCCAGTAGGCTCAGGAATCTGTACACAAGTTGATTGACAGTTGAGAGGTAGGACCAAAAAGCCAGAGCTCAACCCCCGCAAGCACAACAACTAGGTGAATACACACACACACACACACACACACACACACACACACACACACACACACACACACACACACACACACACACACACACACACAAGCTAACAAGCATTTCCTACACGTTACTAGACAGACTGATCCGAAGCAGGAAAGTACAACACCTAGAAGAGCAAAACTTGGCCTCAAACACCAACACGGATTTAGCAAAGGAAAATTCTGCGTGACAAACTTTCTGGAGTTCCACAACAACATGACATATCAAACAAGATATAAAAAATAGGTATATTCCTCGACTATCAGAAAGCATTCGATACTGTCCCACACAAGAGACTCCTACCCAAGCTAGAGAAGCAGGCTGGTTTATTGGGACAAGTCATAAGGTGGGGGCCAGAGAGTACCTCTCAGGAAGGAACCAAAGGGTGACAATACGAGTGGAGGTATAAGAATGGAGGGAAGTTACGAGTGGAGTACCACAAGGGGTCGGTTGTAGGGTCCAACCCATTTCTAATATATATGTCATCAACCTGACAGAGAAGAGTGGCACCTCTTTATTAATGCTTGCAGATGAAGCATAACTAATGGGAATTGTCAGGACTGATAGGTTGTGAAGCATTGCAAATTGATTTCGACAATCCAGAGTTGTTCTCAAAATTGGCTGCTAGAATTTAACCCAGCCAGTGAGTTATGAGGATAGTTACATGAGTTATGACATCCCTCCCACTGGCCACTGGATCAACATCCGAGGTGTCGACCCTGGCCTCCTGCCCGCCAGTATTCCAGAGGGAATCCTGGAAAAGGTCCCCAAGAGCCCATAAAGTCCTTTGTCCAGGGCAAGGATATGGGTGAGTGAGGTTATGTCCAGAGTTGGGCTTCTGAGGGGTTGGGCTGGCTGCCTCCACAGCTGCTGGTGAAGCAGCTCATCACAGCTGCTGGTGAAGCACTTCATCACAGCTGCTGGTGAAGCAGCTCATCACAGCTGCTGGTGAAGCAGCTCATCACAGCTGCTGGTGAAGCACTTCATCACAGCTGCTGGTGAAGCACCTCATCACAGCTGCTGGTAAAGCCGCTCATCTCAGCTGCTGGTGAAGCAGCTCATCTCAGCTGCTGGTAAAGCCGCTCATCTCAGCTGCTGGTAAAGCCGCTCATCTCAGCTGCTGGTGAAGCACTTCATCACAGCTGCTGGTGAAGCACCTCATCACAGCTGCTGGTGAAGCACCTCATCACAGCTGCTGGTGAAGCACCTCATCACAGCTGCTGGTGAAGCACCTCATCACAGCTGCTGGTGAAGCACCTCATCACAGCTGCTGGTGAAGCACCTCATCACAGCTGCTGGTGAAGCACCTCATCACAGCTGCTGGTGAAGCACCTCATCACAGTTGCTGGTGAAGCACCTCTCCAGATTTACAATTATAAACAGCTCTACAACTCCACTCATCCCTAAAAATTATAAATTATACCCCTTAACGGCGTTTCTCAATTAGATAAACACACGGGAC